CTATTCAATCTCGCTTGTGCTAAGCGTCAGTCTGGTTGACAAGGATATGACATTAATTAATTCATTCATTTAAATAAAATATCACATAATTCATTTTATTGAATTTATTAAGTGTGATTATCAAACTGATACTCTAGCTGTTAGAATTTAGGTGTAACTCGAATTCCTTATTGAAGTAATTGAAAAATTTTAATTGAAGTGCACATCAAGAAGAATTCAGTTTGAAATGCTATTGAAGTCATATGTCAAGTTGAAGTTTTATTTTGGAACCATTGTGAGTTGTAATTTGCTTTGGATTCAATTTTTTTGGTATCCTCATCAACAACTCTACTATGAGGGTTTGGACATCTCCTATATGTTTCCTATAAATTAATAGGCTCTTCTATACAATTTTAAGATGTGAGAAAATAGATTACTAGAATTATAGGATCTATTGTAATTTTTCTATCTTCTCCATTATTTTTAAGTCAATAAAATCTCTTAATTTATCTGTCATATTCTTGTCTTTATTATTCTTTTATTTGATCATATACTTCATTATTATTTTTCATATACTTTCAATATCTCAATCCGGTGGTTTGTTTCACAACAATTGGTATCAGAGCGCCAGGTTCAGCAGTTCCGCAAGAGAGCAATGTTTGATTTGTTCAAAATTTTTTATTCGTCTTGACTTCCATGAACTATGACATTCTGCTTTTGGATTGGAGCACTAGATTTTCACTATGGTAGGTTAAGATACGTGTAGTACTCGAACAGCTAGATTTGAATTATGCGTTGTTGAGAATTGACAGGATGCCCCCAACTTTAACCGCGGAGGAGAAATTATGGAAGGATAAGAAGGCAGTTTCTCACATTCATCTTCATCCATCAAATACTATTCTTCAGGACGTTTTGAAGGAGAATTCAGTAGCTGCTTTATGGTTGAGGTTGGAGTAATTGTGCATTACTAAAAGTCTGACAAGTAAGTTGAACCTCAAGCAGCGTTTATACTCTCATCGAATGGCAAAAGGAGGATCATTGGAAGATCGTCTAATTGTATTTAAGGAGATCGTCACTAATTTGGAAACTTTGGAAGTAGAGTATAATAAAGAAGATTTAGCCTTGATCCTATTGTGTTCGTTGTCCGCTTTATTTTCTTCATTTAGAGACATGATCTTGTATAGTCGTATACTCTCACCATAGAGGAACTGTATGATGTTTTGTATTCAAAAGAAAAGATGAAGCATCTAGTTTCTGATGCTAGAGATGAAGAATGCATGGTTGCTTATGGTGGTTCTGGAAGCGGCAAATCGAAATCTAAGTTCAGTAATCAAATTTGTAACTACTGCAAGAAAAATGGGCACTTAAGGATTGCTACAAATTACAGAATAAAGAAAGGATGGCTACAAGTAGATATTCAGATACTTTAGGCGAAGCAGACCTCTTGGAAAATATTGTAAGTGATGGGAAACTCTTAGCTATTTCTGACATTGAATCTAAACCGAAAGATGATTGAATTCTTGATTCATCATGTGTGTTTCATATGTGAGGATTATTCCTGAATAAACGAACATATAAAACTGTTTTCAAAGGTGTCGTGGTTATGGGAAAAAATTTTGCCGGGTTGCCGAAATTAGCACGGTCAGATTGAAACTTTTTGATGGGACAATTAGAACACTTGGTCGGTTCGACATGTTACAAATTTGAAGAAAAATCTCACTTTGTTGTTTATAATTGATTCCAAAGGTTATGAGTTTTTTGGTGGAGGTGGAGGTGGAGGTTGAGGTGGAGCTTTAAAGGTTTGTAAGGGTGTTCAAGTTGTATTAGAGGGACAGAAAATGTTTCAATTATACATCTTGTAAGATCGTGCAGAATTTAGAAGAATCAATCAGCATAAGTTTAGGACTGTGGTGGACATTCAGTTTGGTACAATACCTTTAGGAGTTTATAAAGAGTCGAATCCGAATAATACAATTCAGTAGAGTTCAAGAGATATGGATAATGCCACTTTGCCACCATCACCTGCGGTGCCATTGTATTCAATTGTTAGGAATAGATCCAATAGAAATGGGTATGGGATGCTGATTTTGTTGAGCATGTTTTAAGTGTTGTAGAAGGTGTACAATCTAGTAAGGGGCCTTCTTTAAAAGCATTTGTATTTGATTCTGCTTTGGGGTGTGTTACAACCCATTTTAATTAATTTAAAATCATTATGATTTTTTGGAATTTGAAGTAATTGTGTAAAGTAGTGCTTAGATTCATTGGAAGATGTGGAGTATTGTGTTTTGTTGTAGAAATTAATTTTTTGGTTATTGTTGAAGAAGACAGTTCATTCATTAATAGAATTTGTGTCAAGGTGGAGATTGCTAGAATTTGGGTGTGACTCGAATTCCTTGTTGAAGTAATTGAAAAATTCTAATTGAAGTGCATATCAAGAAGAATTCAATTTGGAATGCTATTGGAGTCTTATGTCAAGTTGAAGTTTTATTTTGGAAGTTTATTGGGAGTTATAATTTGTTTTGGACTCGATTTTTTGGTATCTCACTTCATCAATAACTCTACTAGGAAGGTTTGGACATTCCCTATATGTTCCCTATAAATAGTAGGCTCTTTTATACAATTTTAAGGTATGAGAAAATAAATTACTGGAATTATAAGTATTGTAATTTTTCTTTCTTTTTCATTATTTTTGAGTCAATAAAATCTCTTAATTCATTTAATATATTCTGTTATTATTATTATTTTACTTGATCATATATTTCATTATGATTTGTCATATAATTTGAACATCTCAATCCAGTGATTTGTTTCACAACACTAGCACTAATAGTATTGGATAACTTTATTCAAAGGTTTGCAAAGGGTGTACACGTGATGAATGTAGTGTGGTCTATGGAGGATGTAGAAGAGCCTATGAGTACAAGTGGCTGCCACATGGTCCAGCATAGTCGGATTTCGGGTTGAGCCTTCAAATTTTGATTGGTTTGTCACCTTTGGGTGTCCATTCCAATCTCACTATCATTCT